TTGCTCTGGACAGGTCTGCTGATTGTTAAAGCAAAACATCTCATTCTCAAAGCACCTTCTCCGAGAGACTGCCTGTCTTCAACCATGGTGATAGCAACCAGGCAAACTTCATTACTCGAGGTTGCAACAGCCCCTTGCGTCACCTTTCTTAGGCAGTGGGATGAATGCTGATCTCTTCCAATCCCAGATATTCTGGCAGATCACTTTGATAACCACTGGTGGAACAGGCCTCAACATTTCTGCTGGGATGGAGTCAATACCAGGTGCCTTGTTGTTTGGTAACTGCTTCAGCGCCCATACGACTTCCTCATCCAGGATAGCTGGCTCCATTTCCACTGGGTCATCATGGGGTGGCTCAGGGTCGCTAGTGCTTGCATACAACTCTTCCGTGTATTCTCTCCATCTGCTTCTGATGCCTTGCTGGCCAGTCAGGACCTTCCCGTTCTTGTCTTTGATTGCTCCTTTGCGGGCAGTGAAAGAAGTTCGAATTTTCTTGACCTGCGCAAAGAGATTTCTGGTGTGACCTTTTTGACAGTCCTCCTCCATTTCCTTGCATCGCTGATCCCAGTATGCTTCTTTGTCCTTCCTTGCTGCCTTATGAAATTCCGCATTTAGCCTCCTAGCTTCATCTCGGTCCCCAACGGCTTTGGCTGCTCTTCTTTGATTGGCGATGTTGATGGTTTCTGGCCACAGCCACTTGCTCCTTTTCTCTAATTTCTTGTATAGTATATGTTCCTGTGCTGTTTTGATAATCATGGATTGGAATTCCTGCCACAATTCGTCCGGCTGTTTGTCTTCATTGCCAAGCAGTTCGAATCTGTTCTTCACTGCGACTGTGTATGAAACAGGTACCTTGGAGACATCAAAATGCTTTGATGAAGCATTCTTTTTTATGTTGCAGAATTTCACCTTGATGGTGGCTACAAGCAGTTCGTGGTCAGAACCGCAGTCAGCACCAGGGAAAGTTTTGATGGCAAGGACTGAACTTTTCCACCATTGACTGCAAATAATGTAATCTATCTGATTGCGATGCTGTCCATTGGGGGCTGTCCAGGTGTACAGACGGCGTTTCGGTTGCATGAACCATGTATTCGAGACCCTGAGATGGTTTTCATGGCAGAATTGGACCAAACGATCACCAGCTTCATTCCTTTCTCCCAATCCACACCGGCCTATGATGTTCGCCTCTTCCTGACTGCCAACCTTCGCGTTGAAATCGCCCATGATATAAATGATATCCTTTTTGGGCACTTGTTCCAGTGCTTCCTCGATTTTGGCATAAAATTGTTCTCTTTCATCTTCTGGAGCATCTGTTGTTGGAGCATAGACTTGTAAAACCGTAACATTTAGCGGTTTTCCACGGATACGGATGTCCATTATGCGGTCGCTGATGGTGGTGTAGCTCTCGACTGCATGGGCTATGTTCTTGTGTGCTATGAGCGCCACTCCGTTTCTTCTAAGTTCTTGATGCCCAGAATAATACACTGAAAAGTCATCCAATTTTAAGTGGCCATTATCTTTCCAGTGTAATTCACTAATACCAAGCAAATCTATGTTGAGTCTGATCATTTCTTGCTTGATGATGTCCAGTTTCCCTTGACTTATTCCGCGGACGTTCCATGTTGAGATCTTTTTGTGCAGCGCAGATTCTGTCTTTCATCGCAGGCAGCATCAGCATCTGGGCTTCCCGAAGGCCATTTGCGTCATAAAATCCCAGATTACTCGCAAATGATCCTTGCTCTTCCCATGTCGCTTTTTGGATACCTGCTGGCCTGGGGGGTCTACCATTGGGTACCATATTTGAAACATGTGAGAGATTTTCCATGAATTTTCATGACGATGGTTTTCTAGGGCAGGTCGTCAGGTCTTTCCCCAACCCTCCCCATTTGTCCTGGCTTGGGACCGGCATACAGGAGTAACTCTGCATGGCTGGGTTATAGAAATCAACACTCCTTAAATTATTCTCTTTTGCAGTGTTGTAAACTTTTCTAATGATACCATAGACTGGGAGTCTTTGACATTTCAAAAACAATCTATGAATGGTTGAGATAATTAAAACAAGCTGTGAGCCCTGACAGTTTCTTTTTTTTAATCAACGATCCTGGGTCTTTTTTAATTTTCACAGCACAAAAAAAAACTCTTTACAATTAAAATCATTTCTTCATTTCACTAATGAGAGTTTTAAATTGGTAGCTCATGTAGAATTGTTATGCCTAGGAATATTAAAGTTCTAAAGAGTGTACAGAAAGCCGGACACGGATTTGGTTCTGCCCCACTTCTTGAGAACCCGGCTTGGGCTGTGCATAAAGCTTAGAGCTTCCAGTCGTTCCATTCCTAGGCAATGTGTGTGCATCTTTTTTTCTTTCTATGACTTTCAAGATCTCGTATGCCTGCAGGTCTTTTGCAGTCACGATGAGTCACTGAAGACAGTTATGTGTCATCTATTTTGAGGACAAGTTTTGGTGAGCTGTTGCTAGGCCCTTCAAGAGCACTTGTCACGGAGAGCCGCACAGCCAAGCACTTCCTGTGGCTTCCATAGTATGTGCTTCCACATATTCCATAGGTTGTCTGGAAAATATTTGCAAAAAGAACAGGAAATGTTCTGCACTTTCTACTACTCCACAGTGTCCGTATGTTCACAACCCAATGGTTAAACCACTTTCATTTGCATTCATACGTTCACAAACTTCAGGTTCAGGAGAATCCCAAAACAACCGTGACCAGTCAGAAATGGCAAATACAGTGTCTTTTAATTTAGTATCTGGTAGGGAGGAGGGTAAATCCGAATCTAAGCTATGCTGTCCTTGAAACATCAAGAGAGTGTCTTAAGGTTTTAATTTAAATGCACAGACTCTTCAATCTATTGTCTGCCTTTAATATGATACTGATCCAAACTGTTCCCAATCTTTATCGATGGTACATATCATCATCAGCTCTTTACAAGAAGATGCCAGTGATGATAAACATCTTGTTTCCAGGGCTCATCAGTACAAATGCAGTCCATTTACTCCCCCTGTGCCTTCCCTATTTCACTCTTTTATAAGCCGTGAATACCAATTAGACCTGATGCTTTGTTGAGTGTCTCATAGCTGACTAAAGTCCTGTGTTGTATTAGAAAATTAGTTCTGGTGGTTTACCTCAGCAGCATAAGTATTTCAATTCAATTTATTTTTCTATAGCACCTTTCACAACAAGGTTCCCCCAAGGTGGTTAACAATGGAAGTGACCATACATGTTGGGAATACAAAACAGAAAAGACCAAAAGACAACTTTGAGAGGAACCAAAAATGTCTTAGTAAGAAGCAATAAAACCTCTAGGGGTCCAAGGTCAACTGGCTTCCAAACCCCTTTGGGCATGCTGACATTATTCAATTAAAAAAATTAAAAAATGAATGAGGGTATTAACCCATCCATTATGTCTTCTGTACGTCAGTACTCCATGCAGATCTCTTGTAGACCAGAAAAATCCTCCTAAACGATAAAGTATCGCAAATCCCATACATGTTACAGCATATGTATCGTGTATAGCTGATACACTGCATGTATCAGTAATTCAGGTGGGTAGCTGCGTCAGCATGCGTAGGCTGCAAAGGAGCAAGTAATAGGTTTATTCCTGAAAAAAAGAAGAAAGAAAACACAAGATTTTGTTTTCTTTCTTATTTTTTTCAGCATGGAATAAACCTATTACTTGTTCTTATGTATCAGTAATACACATTTTGGGAGACAAACACAAAATTCACTAGCTTAGTTATAGTTGAGTTTTACACACCAATAGTTAAACCACTTTTCATTTGCTTTTAAGGCATAATTATGTTACGCATGATTTTTTTTTTTAAATAAAGGGGCCTTGAAATGTAAATTACAGTTTCTCTTGCCATTTAGGAAACTTTGATATTGTTAAGAGAATTCTTCGGCAGGGTTTCCACGGTATGTGTGCCAACATAGTTCAGTTATTACAGCTGTAAACATTACAGTGCAGTGCTGAAAGCAGAAGCCAATGTTCTTATTAAAGCCATAAGAAAGGGGCACCAGAGTCAATGACAAGCTGAGTCATCCTGCTCACTTCTCACACAACACCTCTCTGATTCAACAGTTATTGTAAATCTCAAAGCCTGCTCAAATAAAATATCCATCAAAATGACTTATTTTGACATGTTTATCTACAAAATTAACTTCACATTCACACGTATAAAGCACAGGATTCCTCTAACCAAAATAGTTAGGCACTTAAATCTCCATTGTATCCTATGAGCCGCTAGGCACTTGAGCGGTTTGATTCTAGGGATTGTTAAATGTAAATGCTGCATTTGATTCAAGAAATAATGTGTAAGTAAGATTCACTTTATTTACAGGCTAATGTACTAGAATTTAATCATTATTGTACATCAATAATGACAACATGACAGATTCAATGTTTTGTGTTACTTCAAATATCCCTAGTCCCAGCATAAACCATTATTATTATAATAACACACACATCTGATGTGCGTGTTATAATAATAATGATCTAATGCTATAATTTTATTTGTATCTGACTTCACCACTTTAATAAGTCATACTTTTGAAATCCAAAAGGAGGAAACTAATGTTAACTTTTAGAATATTTTAAAATAAGGCTACAAAGACTTTCCATATCCATTTGCAGCATGAGAATGCTGTTGAATTTACCATCTAGCTGATTACCAAAGAGCATTTGTTGATGTAGTTACTAAACAATACATGCTGAAAAAAAGAAGAAAGAGAACACAACGTTTCGGCCATGGAGCCTTCTTCAGGTGTGAGAGAGACAGGGCAGTAGGCAAAGGTAAAACTGCCTACTGCCCTGTCTCTCTCACACCTGAAGAAGGTTCCACGGCCGAAATGTTGTGTTCTCTTTCTTCTTTTTTTCAGCATGGAATAAACCTATTACTTGTTCCTTTGCAGCCTACGCATGCTGACGCAGCTACCCACCTGAACTACTAAACAATACATGACATGCAATATGCCCTGATTCTTTTTAGGTCCGGAGGTGGATGAGAAACCCCAAGGTGACTATGGAAAAGGGTCAAAGTAAAACTTTCCTCTACCCTAATTCTACATCACTGCACAAATCTCAGATGGACCAAGATCTCTGGTATAAGCAGTTCCCAGCTTACAGCTGCTGCCACCTCAACCACACAAGAGACTTCCTCCCAGATGATCAGCCATGTGTCATGGACAAAGGCAAAAGCTGCAAAGTAAGTAGATGTGATGTCACTCTGATTTTCTCATCATTTATATACATTCTCTAAATTGAATTTGGTTTCATACATTCGTAGTCATTTGTCTCA